TACAATTATCAGTTTGCCCAATTGTAGTAATTTGAGTTCCTACATTATTTACTTTCAAGTTAATTATCTAGATTCTTAGGGTTTTGAGTTCAAAGCAATCAATAATCTCAACATGGTTTGTCAATGATGAAACTGGTGGAGGTGAAAAGAAAGAAGTGGCAGTCCAAGATCCAACATACCAAGAGCCAGGGACGATGTTTATCAGTTTTTAGCAGAGTTTTTTCATCACTGAGATTTCGTAAGAAACAAGAAATTAGGGGAGAAAACCGGATGATCTAGTTGAAGATATTCTCCACCGCCTTCCAGTGAAATCTCTGGTAAGATTCAAATCAATATCGAAAGGATGGAAATCATCGATCGAATCCGAGTATATAGTAGAGAAACACATCCGTCCCCGACAGAAAAAGAATGGAGTGGAAGAGATGAAAATCACTTTTGAGTGGTCCATACCAAGAAGCTTTTGTATCAAGTATTACTCAAAATACGAAGGACGACTTAAAGCAAACAATAGAGAATCAGAACCGTTTCTTCGAGTTGCCGGATCTTGTAACGGTTTGGTCTGCGTCTACGACATGGTCGACGTTTACCTAATAAACCCTACAACAAGAATGATCCGAACACTTACTCCTCCTCAAGGTAACAAACTTTCAGTGGGATTTGGGAGAGATGTTGTCACAGGAACATACAAAGTGGCGACTGTGTATGGCTTCGACGATGACAGAGTGGAGACTCTAGTTTTCGAACTGGCCACTAACGAGTGGAGATGGAGACACAAACCGCTGGTCAAATGCCTTTTTCTTTCACTCCTTTCACTCTGATTAACCCTAAAAGACATCCAGTCTTTGTAAACGGGTCACTCTTCTGGTTGTTGACACGTTACCACTCGGAAATACTTGTCATGGATCTTCACACCGAAAAGTTCCGTACTTTGTTGCAACCCAAGAAAAGTCTAGAGGACCGTCTCTATGTCTCTGATTTAAGACAAAGTGTGGTTTCTTAAGTGTGGGTTCTTGTGCAGGACGAGGTTAGTGAGAGGTGGGAGAGAAGTAATTAATGAGAAATATTCTTTGCAAAGAAGTAGATTCACTCCCGAGTATAATGTCATTCCTCCACTACAGTTGAATTCCGTTTGATTTTCTCAGAGCTTGGTTTCTCCTTACCAGTTGTCATCTCACTTCTAGACATAGAGACGGATCAAGAAGTGAGACCGATCAGTCGCTTATTTCAGATTACTTATCAATCAAGTAATTTGTTTCAAAATTGTTTCAAGATTTGTATTCAACAAAATATTTTTCTTCTTGATATTCGTGTGAGCAAATTAAGATATCAGTCATCTGCGTCTATACGAGTATTGCCTTCCTCCTATACACACTTTTTTTTGTTTTCTAACATGGATAATCCTATTAAATCCGACTAATAATAAATTAATATTTTTTTTTAAATCTACTATATAATTAGAGACTTTTCTCTCCATCGAAGGTGTCCACCTAAGCACAAAATTTTGTTTATAATAAATTTTATTTTAAATGTTCAATTGATTCATGTTTATGAATATTTATTGTTACTTATAACTACTAAAATTTTGAATT